ATTTCTAACTCGTTTGTTGGCTTGTTTCTTGTAGATTTCATTTGCCTTTTCAATGTTTCTTCGAACTTCTTTATGGACTTTTATCATGAACTCGGCTTGCTCCTTTGCCCCACCATGAACGAACTTGTCTTTTGGCAAAGCAATAAGATCAATGGGAACATAAGGGTTAACGCCATATACTACTTCAAAAGGAGAGTACTTCGTAGTAGCACTAGGTGTCCTATTATAAGCAAACTCGGCATGAGCAAGCTTATTATCCCAATCTTTGGTACTTTTGCTTACCAAAGCCCTAAGCAACGAACCAAGTATCCTATTCACCACCTCCGTTTGACCATCGGTTTGTGGATGATGTGAGGTAGAAAACAATAACTTAGTTCCCATCAAACGCCATATAGACTTCCAAAAATGACTTAGGAACTTAGTGTCACGATCCGACACAATGGTGCGTGGCACCCCATGAAAACGAACCACTTCTTCGAAGTATAACTTAGCCACTTTTACTGCATCTTCAGTTTTATGGCAAGGAATGAAATGAGCCATTTTTGAAAACCGATCAACCACCACCATTATTGAATCCTTGCCTCTTTGAGTTCTTGGCAAAGCTACAATAAAATCCATACTAACATCTTCCCAAGGTCTCTCGGGAATTGGTAAGGGCTTGTAGAGACCTTTATGAAACACCATCTTTGCTCTTTGACAAGTAGAACAACGACTCACCACATGATGAACCGTGGCTAACATTTTCGGCCAATAAAAGTGAGCTTGGAGAAGCTCCACTGTCTTGTGAATACCAACGTGACCAGCTAGCCCTCCCCCATGAGCTTCATGTATCAACAAACTTCTAATGGGACATTTTGGAATACATAATCTATTTCCTTTAAAAAGAAAACCATTATGTAAGGAAAACAGATCATAGACTCCCTGGACACAGTTATCAATTATCCTTTTGAGTTCATCATCTTCTTGATAGTATTCTTTGATCAAATCGAACCCAAGTACCTTTGCTTCAACCATTCCAAGCAAATTATGCCTTCGAGATAAGGCATCCGCAACCACATTAGCTTTCCCACTCTTGTATTTAGAGGAAAAGTTAAATGTTTGCAAGAATTCGACCCACTTTGCATGTCTTGCATTCAGCTTCTTTTGGCCATGTATGAACCTCAAGGATTCATGATCGGAATGCAATATGAAAGGTTGTGGCCTCAAGTAATGTGACCAATGATCTAGAGCTCTTACCATAGCATAGAACTCTTTATCATAGGTGGAGTAATTCAACTTGCCTTGACTCATCTTCTCACTAAAGTAAGCAATGGGACGCCCACCTTGAATCAATACGGCACCAATACCCTTTCCACTTGCGTCACATTCAACCTCAAATGGTTTGGAAAAATCCGGAAGTGCTAAGATGGGTGTGTTGCACATCTTCTTCTTGACTTCTTCAAACGCCCTTTGAGCTTGGGGTGTCCATTCAAACACGCCTTTCTTAGTACACTCGGTGATGGGAGACATGAGTGTGCTAAAATTCTTGATGAATCTTCTATAGAAGGAGGCAAGTCCATGAAATGAACGAACTTCCGTGAGTGTCCTTGGACTAGGCCATGATTGGATTGCTTCAATTTTGCTAGGATCCACCTTCACGCCATCACCTGAAACTATGTAACCAAGAAACATGACTTCATACAATAAAAAATCACATTTTTCTAGTTTCCCATACAATTTTTCTTGCCTCAAAACAGAAAATACTTGGAAAAGATGATCAAAATGAGATTCTTCATCACGTGAATAAATGAGAATGTCATCCAAGTATACTACCACGAACTTGCCAAGAAATGGCCTTAGCACCTCATTCATTAATCTCATGAACGTGCTAGGGGCATTTGTAAGGCCAAATGGCATGACGAGCCACTCATACAACCCATGCTTTGTCTTGAACGCGGTTTTCCATTCATCCCCTTCTCTCATGCGAATTTGATGATACCCACTTCTCAAGTCTACCTTTGAGAAGACCTTGGAACCACTTAACTCATCAAGCATGTCATCAAGCCTTGGAATTGGAAACCTGTACTTGATAGTAATGTTATTAACGGCTCTACTATCAATACACATTCTCCAAGTACCATCTTTCTTAGGGACCAACAAAGCAGGAACGGCACATGGACTCATGGACTCACGCACATAACCCATCCCCATTAGCTCTTCAATTTGACGTTGTAATTCCTTAGTTTCTAAAGGGTTACACCTATAGGCTGGCTTATTTGGCAAAGGTGCTCCGGGAATGAGATCAATTTGATGCTCAATTCCACGTATGGGTGGTAGTTCTTTAGGTAATTCATTCGGAAAAACGTCCTCAAAATCCTTAATCAATTGGGCTAACTTAGGATTTTGAACAACAAAATTTTCGTGGGTTTCTTTGGAGTATAGTATGAACAACTCTCCCTCACCATCTAACTCCCTTTCAAACTCTTTAAGAGACAACAAGGATACTTCTTTTTGGGGTGTTTGTGATGGTGAAAACCGTGGGGGTGGTAAAGGGTGTAGTTTTTTCTTCCTCCCTTCATGGACTATGGTATACGTGTTGTGATACCCATCATGTATAGATCTTTTATCAGTTTGCCAAGGCCTACCAAGTAGAATATGACAAGCATCCATAGACACAACATCACATAATATAGAATCACAATACGAACCAATACAAAAAGAAACCATGCATTGCTTCCTAACCCCAGTGCTAGCATTAGAATCTAACCAACTTAATTTGTAAGGTTGTGGATGATTAGTAGTCGTAAGACCAAGTTTAGATACTAGGGTCTTAGACACGGTATTAGCCTCACTTCCTCCATCAATAATCAAATCACATACCTCGTCACCAATTTTACAACGGGTGATGAAAATGTGTTGTCGTTGGGGGGCAGCATCCTCTTCCACACGTGCTTGTAAGGCCCTCCTAATCACGAGGCTAGTCTTCTCCTCTGGCTCGGCAATGCAATCATCACAATCATCTTCAACTTCTTCTTCCCCCTCCTCAAACTCATCCCAGTTGATGTTTTGAGTGGCCATGAGCTTAACCTCTTGTATGGTTAACGCCCTAGTATTAGGACAATCCTTCTTGTAATGACCTCGTCCTCCACATTTGTAACACACAATGTCACCTAGCTTCACGTCCTTTGTGTCCTTTTTTGGTGGATTACTTGGTTTGTTAAAGGAAGAACCTTCCTTCGTAGGAAAAGAAGGTTTTCGTGCCAATTGAGGAATGGTAGTAGGCTTCTTCTTCTTCCTCTTAGCATCGAACTTAATCACCAACTTGCAAGCTTCAGCAAACGTGAGGTTAGTATAACCTTCAAGTTTGTCTTGTAATTCTTGGTCCAAACCAGATATGAAACGCCCCATTTTGAGCTCTTCATTTTCGGTTACAAAAGTACGTTTTAAGGGGTCTTAGTGAAATCGTGATTAGTGAAGGGGAGAATAGGGGAACACTCAACCCTAGTCTCGGATATAACAAAGGGGAACACTCACCCTTTGCTTGGTGTAGTTAGGAATGGGGAACACTCAACCCACTCGTTCACTACGCAAGTTCCTAGGTTTGGGAACACTCAACCAAAACTAGCACTCTTCAAATTTGAGTTATCAAACTTGGACCTTAAAAATGACTAATTGCTAAGTCACGTTTAATCAACAAAACACAAGTGTTTAAGCAAATTTCTGGATCCTTTTCATTCATGCATAGTACACTATTTATAGTAGTGTATAAGTTACATAAAGGAACATAGGATTCCCTTCTACAATTTTTAATGATCATCCATCACTTGCCTAATTAAAAGACAAGATAAAATGCTAATTATAAGGTGATTAAAAGGCTCATATGACTGTCCAATTAACCCCTCATAACAACAAAGTAAAACTAATCAACTAAGCTTAAAACTATGCTTAAATTAAGGAGAAAACGTTCAGCAATCATGAGGTCTTCAAACAGCATTTTCAACGTCCAAGAAAACATGCAAACAACCCCCTTGAGTCACGCTTGTAACCTCCCATTTAAACCCTTGATTCAAGCTCCTTTATTCTAGCAACAACTCTCTAATTAAGTACATGTAAACCCCAAGTAAAGAGGTAGAATAATCAGCCAACTAATGCCTTAATTCACGCCCAACACAAGCCTTGAATCACGCTGTCAAAATCAGTCCAATGTAACTCCCAAATGCATAAATCATGCGTGGCTTCAAGCTTGGAAAAAACGGCTCATGTACTAGATACCTTCAACAAGATTAATTACACTAAGGGAAGTGTAACCATTTGTTAAACTCTTTGGACTAAAACCGTGCATAGGATTGAAGAATGATTTAGACAAGAATAATCCCTTAGCACCTTGCTCAATAGCACCGTGTTGAACCTCCTCATCTTGACCATGGATAGTTGACCCTTGACCATCTTGGTCACAATCGCTCTCTATCACCTCCTCTCATCTAAATGTTGACGTTTTATGTCATTCACTGTACATATTTTAAATTTAAGGTGGGTTCGATTCACCTAATTTTCACTTATATGAACTTAACTGAACTTATCTTAATTCCTTTACTAAAACTTATTTTAGTTGTACTTTGTACTTGGGTAGTCATTATCAAAACCTGTTTTTCTTGCACTTAATTTATATGAAATTATCTTAACTAGTTAGATCTAAAATAAGTATAAATAAAGTAACCATAATAGGCCCTAGCTCATGTAAAGTTTGACCCCCACAAATTGACATTTATTAACCAAAAACTTATCCACTAATCTAAGTTGAATGACATAAGTCACTTAACTTCAAAATATAAGCTAATAAATGACAATTGTGAACCGAAAACGAAGTGTATCAGGGTCTGTAATACTACTTCAAGGTGTTGCTCAATCAAATTACAAGCCAAAATAGAGAGGGGTGGTGATACTTATTGGTTTGCATTTTGGGGTGTATTTTTTAAGTTCGTAAAAAACAAGTGGTGTATCAAAGTTTAGTACAAAAGAAATTCATAATCAAAGATAAAAATGTATCAAAGTTGTACATTAGTGATCATGAAAATACAACTATTACACTTATCCTATACGAGAGAGTAAATGATAGACTTGGTCTACTATCGTTTCAAACAAAACTCGGTTTCTGCATCAGTACATGTCCAACAGATTCAAGCCCCCTTTCTACACTTAAGTTACATTTTCCACTATGATTACCAGTATATAAAAAGATCCAAATGTCTGTGAGAAAGATGATTAAATCCCTCCAAGTCTTTCAGAAAGATATTTATATCCATGACATGAGACTAGACAATTTACAAAACAGAACATTGACAACCTAGGACTCTTTGATGATAACTTGAAATCAGAGTCGCAGCATGGCCGACAAGCCAGGATAATACAACGAAGCATCACTCTCCTGGACGCGGTTCCATTTTCTGAACAGGCGGAGCAGTAATTACAGGTCGTTTAGGGTCACCATAATTGGGATCACCAGATCTTTCACAGATTTCCCTGTATTCTTGGCACAAGGCACATATATGACAAAAAAAATGAGTTGCAAAATCTCCACAGGGTGCCTCCTGCGTCACAATAATACCAAAGATTAAAACTATGAAGCTAAAGGTTTGAGGGAAAAACTAAAACCATCCTATAGATCAAAAAGATATTGAAACAGCAGAATCCTATGGGGACTCTGCTATTGAAAGAAATCTTAGCAAAAGACAAGACAAAACAAATGCTAAAATAGAAGATAACTGGAACAAGAGTAAATTTGTAGTAAACACTGATAGAATTTAATCAATTAATATTCATTGTTCAGCACAATATCACTAATCGACAACATAAAGTCCATTATTCCTCCTCTGCAAGTGCAAGTCCAATTGCCTTAATCATAGCAGTTAATTCAATAAATTATTCTAATCCCTATCCGAGTGCAATCAACATCATGAGAAGATGAAGAGCAACACATTTGCACTGGTGGACTGGAGGTGGATGGCACCCCATTCATGCCTTTTGACTTGGGGTGGGGAGAGGAAGTAGTGGATGGAAACTTGGAAAGGAGAGATTTTAAACCTTTTAAAATTTGTTGCTGCGATATGTCCCCATAACAATCACTTCTCTCTTTATAGATCAAAAAGATATTGAAACAGCAGAATCCTATGGGGACTCTGCTATTGAAAGAAATCTTAGCAAAAGACAAGACAAAACAAATGCTAAAATAGAAGATAACTGGAACAAGAGTAAATTTGTAGTAAACACTGATAGAATTTAATCAATTAATATTCATTGTTCAGCACAATATCACTAATCGACAACATAAAGTCCATTATTCCTCCTCTGCAAGTGCAAGTCCAATTGCCTTAATCATAGCAGTTAATTCAATAAATTATTCTAATCCCTATCCGAGTGCAATCAACATCATGAGAAGATGAAGAGCAACACATTTGCACTGGTGGACTGGAGGTGGATGGCACCCCATTCATGCCTTTTGACTTGGGGTGGGGGAGAGGAAGTAGTGGATGGAAACTTGGAAAGGAGAGATTTTAAACCTTTTAAAATTTGTTGCTGCGATATGTCCCCATAACAATCACTTCTCTCTTTATAGCAAAAAAAAAAACATTCACTCGTTCAAACCTCAAAGTGTGATGAAAACTTTAGCAACACCTACTTCATTTTTTCCTTTTAAAGCTTCATTTTGTAAAACATAGCTACATGACAACATCCCCCCCCCCCCACTTCCGTTTTTGTTGTTTTTTAGGTCATTTTAATTATTAATTTTACCACTTGAAGAATCATATTAATAGGATTTAGAGGCACGTTTATGCTGCTTTTATAGTAATTTTAGGTCTTTTAGTCACTTTTTAGGTCATATTTGCATAAGTTTTTCATTTTGTGCTTCTTTTTTTTTTTGAGAGTTAATGTTCGTGGATGTTTATTTTGAGAAAATTATGAATGATTAATGAAAATAGCATCCACAGCGATCGCTATGCGCCTTTCAAGAATGAATTTGAGTTAATAACGAAGTTATACAATGGTTACAAAAAGTGGCAAAAATTGATCCTTGTTCATTCTTTTTATCATAACTTGAGTTATACAACATCAGAAGTGATTCAAGTTGCATTAGAAACTATACTTGAAGGCTATGTTTGGATAACAAAAAATGGAAGGAAAGGAAGGGAAAGGGAAAGGGAGGGAGACAAACTTCCTTGTTTGGATAATATGTTGGGGGAGGGAAGGGGAGGGGGAGGGAGGGATCCATTTTCCCTCCTCCTTTAATAAAGATCATCCCTACAAAATTGGAGAGATTTGGAGGGAAAATGGAGCTCATCATTTCCTCCACTTTCCCTTCCTTCTCCTTCATCCTATTTCCCTCCCTTTCATTTCCCTTCTAATTTGTTATCCAAAAATAGCAAAAGAGTTAATGATAGGTCACACCCCCATATACGCTTCTTATAAGAAGAGATAAAAAGACTGCAAAATTTCCCTATGCCCGCACGACAAGTTATGGCCGCAAAGTCCAAGCTTCGAATCTGCCCCCAACATTTGCTGCATTCGTAGCTCGTTAGATGTGTGATTTCTGATTATCATTGCATCATCATCACCTTTAACCAATTGCTATGCTTATGTACTTTATTTTCTTATTTCTTTTGCTTAATTATTTTTAGATTAGAATTTAGGAAGAGGAACTATTTTCCCTCATGCCTTTTATTATTTTACATTCGTTGAAGTTTCTGAGATCTCCACGGATTCTTCCATGGATGATTCTTAGGTTTATTATTTCAATTTATTGATATTTTTTAATTTCTCTTTATTTTATTTATCAATTTAGTGCTTTCAATTATAGGTTCTTTCTTACATCTAATTTAATTATTTATTTCATGCTTGAGTAGTTTTATTTCTATGTTTGGGAATCCATGTTTATATGACGAATATTGATTGAAATTACTGATTTTATTGATTGTTGATATCTCAAATTGATAGTTTGATAATCTTACAACCACATTAATTGTTTGATTAATTCATGTTAGGATTTTTTGACTTTTACCACAAACAAAACCAAAAAAAAAAAAAAAAGGTTTTTAACCACCAAAACTTCTAAAACGTATATTTTACCACCAAATAAAAAATTAAAAGTTGTTTTTTACCACTTGTCGTAAAAAAACCTAACAAATTTTTTTAATCCTTTGATTTTCGTGTCAAAAATAAGATCTTTAGGGGTTTTGGGGGGCATTTTGACCCTATGACTCCAATTTGAGGTCAAAATTGATAAAAAATGATCGGAAATGTCTTATTTTGCGTGTTTCACGCAAAATGAGGCATTTTCGATCATTTTTAGTCAATTCTGACCTCAAATTGGACTTATAGGTTCAAAATGCCCCCCTAAACCTAAGAATAACATGTTTTGCACACGAAATTCAAAGAAATTTTATTTTAAAATCGTTAGATTTAACAGTTTTTTGACGTTAGGTGTTAAAAAAACAATTTTTAGAAACTTTTTTTTTTTTTTTTTGTGTTAAAATAAAAGTTTTAGAATTTTTGGTGGTTAAAAACTTTTTTTTTTTTTTTTTGATTTTTTTTTGGTAAAAGTCAAAATTTCCTTCATGTTAATAAGAGTTTGAATCGAAAATTCTTATTTTTTGAGGTTTAGTTTCAATTACAATTAGCAATTCTGATGTGTTAGCGACCTTACTGCATTTGTTGAATTGAGAGCGTTATGAACCCACCGTAGGCTTAGCAATTGATCATTCTTTAAAGAAAGTTTACTCTTTACATATTTGGGTACTCCTTTATCAAGTTGAACGCTCTCTATAAAAGTGCAAACCCCCAGCTGATAGATATATTAGTAGAATAGTAGGGTGACATCGGGTAGTTAAGAAGCTTTCTAATGTTGGAAGACTCCAATCGACATCTGCACCTTATTTAAGCCAGACTAAGTCATTAGAGCTATTGAACTTATCTGTAGAACTTTGCATTGGGCTGGTGATATTTCTAGCACTGAATAGGCTCCTATTGCTTGGGATTGATTTGCATCCTAAAGTTGCTTTATCCATGTTGCTATGGCCTTTGGGTTAAAAGAGACAAACTCTGGTTGAAGTGGATTCATTCCTATTAAATTAAATCCAGGAACATCTTAACCATGGAGATTCCTAAAGCTGCATCTTGATTGGTGAGGAAGATCTTTGAGTGTAGGAAATATACTGGTGCTACTGGTGATTGGAGTAATATTTAGTTAATTACTTATTTCAAGGAAAAAAGTGATTTTGAAACAAGTGGATTGGAGAGCAGTAATTCATTGCAATAAAGCGAGTCTGAGAAGTTTGTCTGTTCTATGTTAGCTATTAAAAATAGGCCAAGTACAAATGACAGGTTTCCGTCTTGGGGGATTCAAGTTAATCATGAGTGTGTTTTATGTCGAAAGCGTGGAGAAACAGTTCAACACTTGTTGTTTACTTGCAGCTACTCTTATTCAATTTGGGAAAGTGTTCTACGCATGCTACACTGTAACAGGAATGCTGAATATAATGGCAAAGAAGCAATGATTTTGGCAAGAACACGAAGTCTGCTGATCAGGTTGTCAAGGAGATAACTTTTAATGTTGCTTGTAGGCTTAATGAAACTGATAGAGATTGATGTTGTTGACTTATTGTGTAGGCTTATAATGATGCTCTGCTTCCACCCATCATAGAAGGTGGAAGTTAAGTGTTGGTTTGTGTTTTGGTGGTTGTAGGCTTTTGATTTCTCTGTCACTTTCCCTTTTTGGCAATAAGATCTTTACTTGTCAATAAAAAGTCAACCACAACCACCAAGAAAGAGAAAAGGCAAATAAGAGAAAGAGAGATTTAGAAAGACTGACCACAATAAAAAATAAATAAATAAATAAATAAATTAAAAATTAAAATAAACTAATGGTCGAATTTGACCATTAATGCTCAAATTTTGGAGTTTTGAGGTCAGATTTGGACCTAAAACTCTCAATTGTGCAATGCGGTAATGGAGATGGCAGCATCTAGCATATTGGCATAGTAGATGCTGCCATAGTACAAAAATACAGCTGTATCATTTCTGTTAGGCCACATTGTAAAGGATTTTTCATGTTGAATAAGGGGCATTTCGAAAACCAGTGATCTCATACCCTCATCTGAATCACTTGTACCATACCTAAATTGAACATTACATCCTGTGTTTCACTCAAAAGTTACTTACTATTCAAAGACAGCGTGAAAAATCTCCCATGTCTCCCATATATTGGCTCTTAGCCTCTAATAATCTACTCTAACTACTCTAATCGCATACAATTACATATGTATCATATTTGTATCACGTGACAACCACAAAACAGTCTGGGATCAATGCATCAACTCTGTTCACATAACACAGTGAACATTATTACAATTGTGACCAAAACCGTATTTTCGTACCATATGTGGCGGAGTAAGGTTTTGGTGAAGATCTAGAAGATTGTAGAAAAATTAAGAAGATAGAGTGAGGAGAGAGAGTGGTTCGGTGGTGGAAGACGATCTAGTGAGGATTGAGAGTAGGCTTGGTGGTGGAAAAAAATATAGCGAAACATAGAAAGGAAAAATATAGCGAAACATAGAAAGGGTGGTTGCAGTAGGCTTTGATTCCTTTTTACTTGTCAACCCAAACACACAAGGAAATTTGCAGTTTTTAATGTTTTTTCCTTATCTACCCCTTTCCTCATATCTTTTCCTTAATCCTCTCTAAACAAACGATCCCTGAAATTATGTCTTCTACAAAAGGAACTAATTGTAAAAAGAATAATTTAGTGACTGAAAACAGACAGCAAAAAACAGCAATTTATAAAAACCTCCAATAATCATACACACTACACAACTACAAGAAGCGAGGATGAAATTCAGAAGCATTCTCCAGGTTTATGGAATTACATCTCCTATGTATGGGAAATATAAAGACAAGAAAGCAAATATAGCAGAGATGACTTACCGGCAGATTATACTTGGTTCGAAGTATCTTTCGATAGTTGTATGCATAAGATGAAAGAAGACATCCAGGCAACCCCAAAAGTATACAATACATGAAACAACCACTGCTGGCTAGGGTCCAAAGCATACAATGAACCACACAAGGTCCTGCCAGAGTTCCAGAACCCAGAAACTCAGCATTCTTAGCAAAGAGATAGCAGGGGCAAAAGGTACCTATACAACCTGCATTGAGTAAATAAGAAAAAGTAAGGTATCTCTGATTTGCAGTATTCCCAAGTCAATGATCCAAATAAGTAGCATGTACAACCCTCAAATAAAATACTTAAATTATTTAGAGTTTTTTTAAAAAAAAAAAAGAAAAAGAGAGTAAAACAATGGTGTACACAGGGACTGGGCACCAAAATGAAAACTTATTGATAGGATTATTAATTCAAGATAGGCAAGAGCAAGACACATCAGAAGGGACTCGATGGCGTAATGCAATTCTCAGAACATCAAATATAGTCAAAAAACATGTGTTAGGACCAAATATATGGAAACCTCATAATCTAATCTGGTGGTAAATTTATATTGCAAAGTGTAAACCTATATGCATAAAACCATTAGCTGAGCTTAAATCGAATCAGAGGCAATATGAAGTAAGAGTTTTGTAAAGGATTTTGAGCAATGATATCAATTAAAATATATGAAGTAAGAGTTTATATTCACTTCAAAGGCACCATACAAGAAATCTAACTGAGTCATTAATTCTCTACAATGCATAAAATCAAGATAAATATCACCTAAACTACATCTTTCAGTAATAATTTTTTTTTTTTTTTTAATATGCTCAAATTGCACCTTTGACAAACTCATCCTTGTGTTTTAATCAAGTGTCACAAGTCAGATAGTAGCATACAGCTCGGGGTATCGTCGCAACAAGCACAGATTCCAGAAGACCACTGCACAGAGCCATCACTAATTGAAACCAAAGCAGAAGCTTTAACATCATTGATCCCTGCAGTTAAAGCTTCATAATCTTCCTCAGACTGCCCCAGGGGTATATAAGGAGGTGGCACATAGCTCCCATTTCCTTTCATATTCGTTCTTCAGAATTGAAAGAAAATAGCCGCACTGCCCAAATCCTCTCTTCAATCAGCTGCAAAAAAATTTCTGATAAAGAGTTTCCAAGAAATAAATCAATTGCAAAACCCAGAAATTATTCAAAAAGAAAACTACAAAATTCAATTAAGTAATTAACCCAACAAAATTAAACAACAGTAAAGTTAAATAATAGTACGAAGTATGAAATATAAAATAAAAACCCGGAATTTTGCCATGAATTACAAAAATTAAAGACAGCAAAAACCAAGAATTTGATTGAAACAACACCCATAAATTAAAAACCCATAAAATAAAAACCCAGAATTTTGCCATGAATTACAAAAATTAAAGACAGCAAAAACCAAGAATTTGATTGAAACAACACCCATAAATTATTCAAAGAGGAAAATATCAGATTCAAGAAATCACAAATAATTCACATAAGAAAATTAAATAAACCCAGAATTTTGCTGCTGTATACAAACATAAAATTCAGCAAAACCCAAGAATTGGTTTGAAGGGTTTTATGAAGAATTAAACCTTCAACTGATTTATTTTATAGGTTATTAATTAAGTAACAATTAAAAAATAAATAAAACATTTTTACCTAAGAGAGTTTGCAAATCTTCTTCGATTCAAATTCAGAAAAATAACGAGATTCCAATCTGGTCGGAAAAGTTTTGTATGTCCGGAATGCTTTCTAGTGGATCTTCTTAGTTGTTCCTCTACTTTGGGAATTCTTACTTTTTACCGCTATTTCATTGAATGTTAATGAGCATTTTAGAAATCACACACTTAAAAAAAAAATCGGATGTACAATAATTATTGTACATCCATTATAAAGATAATCTAAAGTGATTAAAAGTTACCCCTAAAATGAATAAAAGTTATCTCAATATGCGTTAAAGTAACCCAATCAAATAAAAATTATCTACGCTTTATTAGTAAAGAATCACATTTTAAATGACTATAAATCAATTAATTAGTGATTGAATGTAATTAAATTACCTTTATAAAACTTTTCTTGTTGTTGATTTATATAAAAATTTTATTATGTTTAAAGTTACCCAAAAAAAGACAAAAAGTTACCCTAAAATTAGCTAAAAGTTACTCTTATACTGCTCGATGTACACTAATGTTAGTGTAAACCGGATGTATAAAAAAGTTTTTGTTTAAAAATTTACCAAATGACATAAGACTTTTCTTGATTTATCAAATGTCACCCAATTTTTTAAAAATTCACCAAGTGCTATTAATGACTAATGACCATTAACTCCGTTAGTTATTAAGGTTTAATTATGATATGATTAGACCATTTATCTTAATTCATAAAAAAAAATTTTAAAAAAAAAAAAAACCCTAAAATTTTCTCAGCCAACTACCCACCACCGCCAAACCCTAGCCCCTCCCCTTATCTCGCCACGATCGACCACCCCTTAACCACTAACAATCGTCCGACCGGTCCTTTAGCCACCCCACCTGACCCACCGCCGACCCCCAAAACCTCCTACACAAACTGCCCCGACCCCATAAACCACCAACACGAGCTTCCCCCACCCCAAAAACCACCCACATAGCCTGCCCCGACCCCAAACACCACTAGTAAAAACGCCCCTCCTCCCTTCTCCCACCTTCAAAACGACCATTTCGAGGGGGGGGGGGGGAAGGGAGGAGAGGCGATTTTGACGACGGAGGAAAGAAGAGGGTGCTTGATTAAAGCTCGTGTTGGTGGTTTATAATTTGGGGTCAAGGCGGGCAGCATGGGTGGTTTTGGGGGTCGAAGGTGGGTCAGTAGGGGTGCTAAAGGGCGGCCGATTTTTTGTGATTAAGGGGGTGGCCGACCGTTTTCCAGCGAGATAAGGGGAGGGGCTAGGGTTTGGCGGTGGTGGGTAGGTGGCGGGGAAAATTTTTGGTTTTTTTTTATTTTTATAAAATTAAGATAAATGGACTAATCATATCATGACATGTGTCATAATTAAACCCTAATGAATAACGGAGTTAACGGTTGATAGTCAGTAATGACAATCGGTGAATTTAATAAAAACTGGGTGGCATTTGGTGAATTTTGAAAACCGTGATAGCTTTTGGTGAAATAGTGCTCAGTGGCATTTGATGAAATAGCCGTATTTTTTATTTAGGTTACTAGTTTTGTGTCTCGTGCTGCGATATGCGAATTGTTTTTTGAATTTTAAGATAAATTTATAATCTATATGCAAAATTTAAAATATTTCATTGATACAAAATTAATTAGGAATTAATGTGTTTTTCTGACGATATGCTATCCAGTAGGCATATAATGACTAATAATAATATTGGTGAAAATGTTCGCTTTAATACATTAAAAGAAAAAATTAGCAAAAAATAAACTAAATAAAATAATTGTTCAAAGCACGTTGGATTGACTCGAACATTTCTTGACTCGAACCTGAAGTGACCCAATCCGAGATATTTCATGACCCAGCCCTAATTGACAGGTATCTATTCTATTAGATTGTGAAGTATATAATTTAGTAGTATATATTATAAATGAATGTTTTACGCTTTAAACTACTCCCTTTGCTCTAAAAAATATTATGATATAAATAAATAAATTTATATGATAATTTTTTAGAATTATAATCTAGTAATTTTTTTGAATAAAATTATAATTCAATTTGTACATCTGAAATATTGGCATTTTATCGTTAATAAAACTCTAAATTATAAATTTTATCCTAAAATTCTATCCAAATAGAATTCTAAATTAATTTTTTTTTTATCTTATGAAGTATATTTAAATCTATCCAACGTGACACGACACTTGGCGAAAAGTTGGAATGCCAACTGTCACAATGTTGTGACCTGGCTAAAAGTTTAGCACTATATATTAGTTATTAGTTTTTTTCCCTGTGCGATGCCCGAGTTGTTTATTGAATTTTAAGATAAATTTTTAATCTATATGTCAAATTTTAAAAATATATCATTGATACAAAATTAGTTAGGAATTGATGTGCTTTTGTGATGGTTTGCTATCTTGTAGACATCTAATGACTAATAATAATGTTGGTGGAAATGTTCAATTTAATTTAATACATTAAAAATAAAAAAAATAGCAAAAAAATAATTAAATAAAATAAATGTTCCAAACCAATTGAGTTGACCCGAACCCAAAATTTTGGGCAAGGGTTGAACATTTCTTGACTCGTAACCTGAAATGATCCCACCCGAGATGACTCATGACTCGACCCTAATTGACTGGTCTACATTGTAATAAAATGCTATTGGATTGTGAAGTATATTTTATGCTTTAAACTACTTCTTTCGCTCAAAAAAATATTATGATATAAATTTTTTTTATATATAGAATTATAATCTACTAATTTTTTTGAATAAAATTATAATTTAATTTGTAATGAAATATTGATATTTTATCAAAAATAAAAATCTAACTCTACAATTTTATCCAAAATTCTTTTTAAATAGAATTCTAAACTATTTTTTTTTTAATCTTATGAAGTCTATTTAAATATATCCAACGTGGTGCGACACTTGGCGACCACTTGGCGAAAAGTTGGAACGCCAAATGTCGTCAATGTCTCGTGACCTGGCTAAAAGTTTAGCTTTAATTTATATATTAGTTATATGATATAAAATGATTAGATTAGATCAATGTCGTGCAGGCGTGCACGGATTGCAAAAAGTATTGAAATGAAATAGCTTATTTTTATTAGTAAAAATTTCCACAGTTAATCCTAATTATGTCTCATATGCCGATAGTAATCCCTACTTTCGTTTATTTACTATCACTCCCAACTTTGTATGCCTTTAATTTTTATCACACCCATATGGCTTGAAACCGGATTAGAAGGTTAACTTAATGGAGCTCTCCTTCATTAATGTCACGTCAACTCTCCCTCCCAACTACTCTCGTTACTCTCTCTGCTACTCCGCGATCCCTCCCCTTCAATTACTACTTTAAATACTGCAACAGAGTACCTTCAACGAGAAAAAAAGAAAAAGGGAAATTGACGCCATTGTTGAAGATTCAACCAAAATTGTACTTTTCCCTAACGTCACGATCATCCATTTCAGTCAAGGAGAAGCAACAAGTGTAGTTTGAAAAGAAAATAACTTCCATTTTAGGTAAGTTTCTGAACCCTAAATTACGCTAAAATTGCGCATAAGTTTGCAACTTAATCTCGAACCCTAATGAATTAAACTCGATATTGATGAATTTGTGTATGGAATTTCAATTCATTTGTTAATTATGGGTGTGAATTGTTGTGTGTTTGTTTTTTTGGTGTTTTTTTTTTTGTTGGTTTGTGTTGTTTTAGTTCAAACCCTAAATGCTTGGTTTAAATGCATTCATGATTGTAATGTAGTTGCTGTTAAATTAGGTATGGCTACTACTAAAATAAGCTTGAAAATGTGGCATGGAGGAGTGTTTAAACAGCTTGACAATGGTGAGTGGTGTTATAGCAATGGAAAAGGTAAAACATCTTGACAATGGTGAGTTGCGTTATAGCAATGGGAAAGGTAAAACAACTTGACAATGGTGAGTTGTGTTATAGCAATGGGAAAGATAAAACCTTTAGTGTAGACCCTAGTGAACTTTGTGCTTTCTATATATCTTGTGGAGTTGGTTATGAAATGTGAAAAATATGAGGATAAAATTCAGGGTTTTATGTACTTAATTCCTTGACTAAGCACTAGTAGAAAAATGGAGATGCCCACCGGTTCAAAACCCCCATTTGCCACCGGTTTTGAACCGGTGGGCATTCGAGGGATGCCAAAAATTAAAAAAAAAAAAAAAAACGCCACCGGTTCAAAACCGGTGGCAATTCTTGGATTTGGCACCAGTTAACCGGTGGCTATTCTTTAATTTTGGCACCGGTTAACCAGTGGCAATTATGCAATAAAAAATTTTAAAAAAATTCTTTCTTTTTTTCACTTAAATATTAAGAGATACTTAAATATAATCATAATAATCATAAATTACATATATATTCATCAACAAATTGTAAATTTACAATTAAAAAAAATATTCTTTGAATTGCTTGAATCAGTAGATCTACAAAAAATGAAAACAAAATTATAAATTAACAAACAAAATTAAATCTTCAAAAAAAAAAAAAAAAAAACCCACCCACAACCCACGACCCACCACCCACAAGTCCATAACCCACGACCCACCACCCATAACCCAGTTCCCACGACCGAAACACTGAACCACCCACCTAAAACCACCCCACCAGCCGCCAAAAATCACCCCACCAGCCACCAAAAACCACTAAACCAGCCCCACCGAAACCCGTAATCCACCATCCCCATCCACCAAAACCCCAACCCCAACCCAAACAGATTCCCACCCACCACGACCCCCATCCCCACCTAAACCACCCACCACCACCGCAATTCAACCACATCACCATAAAATAAAAAAAAAAAAAATCTTAAAAAACAAAATAAGAGAAATAAAAAATAGAACTTACCTTGAATTCCACCAAAACCTCGATATTTGCTTGAATTTGGGTTTTAAAGGTCAAATTCTACCGTAAAAACTCTAGATCTAGAGTTTTTAGGATCGAATTTGATATTAAAAACCTGTAGTTTGTTCTTAAACTCAAAACCCTTCATTACATGGTGGTGGCGGTGGTGGTGGTGGGGGGGGGCTTTGAGGAGGGCAACGAGAGAGAAGAGAGAGGGGTGAGACAAGAGAGGGGTGAGATGAGAGAGAGGAGAGAGGTTAGGGAGGTGAGACGTGAGAGGGGAGAGAGGAGAGAGAAGGAGGAGAAAGGC